TGCTTTACAGAAATCTAATGTTTCTATCTTCCACTGCTTCCCTTAGTGTGGCATTCAGGTTTTGTTCTGGCCATCCCAAAAACTTAATTATAACATGTTCCCTAGGAGGCATTTAGTAAAACTAAACAGGTAGAGGAAGAGGTCTCAGGACTTGAATCCAATTCTAGGTATGGTGTGACCTGCAGGATTCAGCCAGAATCGTTAAAAAGTGATAGATGAAACTTCACTGATCAGCAAAGATGACTCACCCAGAAGCACAAGTGCTGAAGTTTGCATTTATTTTGGGGGTGGAAATAGAAAGGAGGGGAAGAAATCTCAAGGAGAGAGGCAAAGGTCCTTGTTGTTAAGATCAAAGCAATGGCCAAAAGGAAATTATTCTGATGGTGCACAGAGATGGGAGAGGTGTCTGTGAGCAGGAGCCTGGCTCAGCCACATGGCCTGGCCCAGCAGAAAGACTCATGTGTAATTTAGATTTCATCTCACCCATCTTATGGACATGTTTTCTTCTCCATAAACAACTGATTTGAGAGAAGGGCATATTTTAGCCAGTAGACAAGTGGAAGGCCAGGCACTGCTGGTCAGCCAGAGTCCCTTTCAAGGGACTTTTCCCTCCCTTCCTTATCCTATAATTGTTCATAAAAACAAAGACATTGTTTTGTTTACCAAAATCCCCACTGACAGCCTTAGACTGGTGTAAGGAGGTTATTGCTGTGCCCAGCTAACCTCTTGCAGCAAAGAAAGTGCAAACATAGCTTTATTCTGTGCATTTCCTGGAGGAAAGGGTACTGGACAGGAATTCAGATAACAAAATTCATGTTGTTGCCGTTCGTCATATTCTGTGAAGTATTTTAATGGGGATAACAATACACATTAGACATCCTGTTCAGTAACATTTTTAGTACCCAGCTGAGTCCAAATATAAACTATAATGGCATATGGAGACTGTCTTAAGAGCCATTTCAAATCAATTTAGTTTTATATAGCGTCTCTTCAAGTCTCTCAAGGTGATTTACAGTGAAAAAGCAAATAGTGGGATAGTGATTTAGTAGAGTAAGGCATGGCAGCTGTCAGGGAGGAAGGCAAAAATGCTGCATGGAGACGTAAAACTCTAATTTAAAAGCACTACAAAGGTAAATATATCTCTTTTCTCTTCCAGTACAAGATGCAGTCAAGTAATGAAGCCAGGTTGGGTTCAGTTTAATTCAACAGTTCAATGGAGCCATTTACAGATGGAACTGGACCTAAAACTGAACCTTTTCCACTCAGCTGCTGAGATTAGGAAAAAAACAGGGAAGAAATATTTGTGACCAATTCATTTTACCATCATATTTCACAACCTCAGAAATTTCAGACTTCCTGTGGCTTGGACTTCTGCCCTAGGGGCTTATGAAGTCAAGAAGGCAGCTTTAAGTGCCTTTTTCATGGAAATTGTTAAAGCCTTTTTTAAAGAAGCAACATTCTAGTCAAGAAACCTTGACCTGGCTGGTGTGACAACCATTGTGCTGCTCCTGTGCACGGAGAAGGAATAATTCTTCAGAGAATGTTTCCCTCAGCTACAGGCCACCCTTCCTGTGGGTTTTTGCCCTCCTGCTCACCCCTCACGTGAAGCTGCTACAGAAGCCATGAAAACACTCATATTTTGGTGTGGCTAGTGTGAGGATCACATGTGCTCCTTACATTTCTGTCCCACCAGCTCAGAATAGGATGTGGCTCTTTCAGCGAAATTTAGGCAAGAGAGAGGGAATGCTACTGTCTTCCTAGGACCTGAGTACACAGAATCCTGGGACAGCTCAGCGTGGAAGGGACCTCTGAAGATCTTCTGATCCAACATTTCATGGGAGAGGGAGCCTAGAATGAGATGATCCAGTGCCCAACAGCATCCTGAAAACCTCCAGTGATGAGGACTCCACCACATCCTTAGGAAGGCTGTTCCGAAGTATCTCTTCTTTGAGAGGCCTAAACCACCCACGTTTCCTTTTACTAAACCACCCACTTTTCCTTCCAGGTGCCAGGACTTGTCAGGATTTGTCACTGCTGTTGCCTGTAGGTCAGGGACATGGTGGAAGCCTGACCTGCTTGCCCACCAGGACTAACATTTCAATTTTTCAACAAGCAGGTAAAGGCTGTTCAGGATGCCAAAGCTGTGGAGAGCCTGAATTGTAATCACTTGAAAAAGCACCTCCTTCCTACTATCCTGGCAAGTGCAGGGCTTGTTTGGTGGCCTCGGGGCAGACGTCTCACAGGCAGTGACTTTGTGAGTCACACAGGGCTGGGAGTCCTGCTGGGAGGTCTGTTCATCTGGGAAAGTGCCTTCTCTTCCTTTCTGCTGTGCAAGAAGTGTATGTTTTATTAAATAAAGTGATGTTCCCTATGCAAATGAACGCCCTTTGGAATGGTGATATGCTGACACGTTTTATGTTAAATATGTATGCCCTTTAAAAACTGAAGCAAGAACTAAACATCATTTATAAATATTAAAGAGCAAGAAGTCTACTTTTTGTTTTCACTGTGTTTCTGATCCTGCACTCTGCGAAAAACACTCCTCACATTATAAAGATTGAATTATCTGTCCAAGAACTAAACCTGTAATTTTATTCTATCAGTCAAGCTGTAATGTCACGCTATTTTTGTGTCAAGACAATCAGGTTCTTTGAAGCACAGACACACACCTACTTAAAAGAAGCTTTCAGCTGAAAGCAGAAGACTCCAGAAACAGCAGCAATTTGTACCTTTCAAGGGACTGATAATTAAATAGAGAAATGCTGATTCCAATGAAAAGAAGGTTTCTTTGCTGGCCAGGATGAAGTTCCATTAGGACATTTGGGTCCAGATTCATCTGTTTGGACTGCAGGCATCAGTCCTTTGGATCATTGACTTCTAATGGCTTCAAATGTGTCCTTTGGAGATACTTATCTCTCTTTCTTGACAAGAAAGGACAGTAGGCCATCTGCACTCCTAAACTGACTACCTTAGGTAGGTATCTAAAATGAAATTAAATCAATCCAGGCCTTGCTCTAGTTTTTAAAGTATTTGTTGCAGGGGACACCTATTAGAAAGTTTAGTATTCAACCCACTGTTACAGCACAGTCAACCTTGCCTCCAGGAAGCATTTTCTGCTGTGCAGGGTTTCCACATCCCTCTGGGAGAAGCAGAAATTTCTCATTAAGGAAAAAAAGTGCAGCAAGACCAATGCAGACATTAAAACACCACCACCAGGGAGGCACTTTTAGATTACAAGTGTGGGAGAGTATCCTGGTGGTTCACAGGATCACAAAATGGGTGATGTTGGAAGGGACCACTGGAGGTCATCCAGTTTCCTTCTGCTCAGAGTTGTTAAGGTAACTTGCAAATGCCAGAAGAGTCTCAGGACAGACTGTAAATATGCTGTGCCAGTTTTACATACTGAGAAACCAAGTCCACAGGTCAAATAAGAAATCCAGGGCATGGCAGAGAATGAAAACTCCAGCTCTGGAGTCCCAGTATTTTTCCCTCCTGTAACACCACTGTTCTTTGTTGATGAAGAAGCAGCAGTTTTCAGCTTGGTCTTTATTGCACATTCACTAAATTATTCCATGTGCTTCTGGCTGCACCATGGATGGCAGGAGAGCCAATGGACAGCACTGAAGGGCTTTTGGAAACCTGCAGCAAGACTGGCTGAAGTGAAGCAATGCTATCCTCCCCTCACTTTACTAGCTCTGCTATCAGCAAAATGCCTTTCTCCCTTTCCAGATAGGAGCTGGAGCAGTGGGAAATATTTTCCCTCAGAGTTTGTCACTCTGTTGACAGGAATTTTAAGTCAAATGGTCATTTTGGGGGATTTAAAAAGCAGTGGAACCTCATGCCCCTAATGAATGGGCAGCAGGAACTCATACTGGCAGTGCTCAATGGCTGCACATGAAACTAGCCAGGCTCAGTAAATGAAACCAGATCCCAAAATACAGCCTGAGATAACTGAAAGTATGCATCAAAGTTTATTGTAGGAAAATGACTGAGTGGAAAAAGAGTGGTCTGCTCTGCCCCTGCACCTCCAAAACATATTGTACCATTTAAACCCTCTAGAAAGACATCTGCCAAAAATGTGATTAATTCTCCTGAAGGTCAAATGTATTACTTTTGTAGAATAGTTGAAGCAGCAATTGTATGTCTTTGATTACTCTTACAAAAGCAACTTAGGAGAAATCCTAGGATTGCTCTTGTGTTTGAAGCTGCTCTTGTGTTTGGAGCTGGATGTTTGCTGCTTACTGGCAGTGACTTGTGTAGCAAAGGTGAGATGTGGTCAGGAAATGATTGTGACCCCCCCAGAAGGGTGAGTCCCAGCGCAGCCTGTCCCAAATTCCAGCAGCACATCCTGTGCCTCTGTTTGGAGTGCCACCCTGTGGACACGGCCCAGCTCCTCCCATGAGCTCCTCTCCTTCCCACAGCCACGAGAGGCAACACCAGGACACACCTGGGACACGAGGATGGGTGACAGCACCTCTGAGCCCCCAACCCCACTGGCCCCTGTCACTCCTGCATGTCCCTGCCCAGCCTGGGGAAAGTGGTGCTGGGCGAAGAATGGGAATTTCTGTACCAAAATAAGAGTGTTTGTTATGAAAGACCATTTTTGCCTGTGCTTTCTACACAACAGAATATGGAAGGTCACCACCACTTCTGAGCTGGATAGGAAATAACTGGGGCATCTGCTGGTAACAGCTGGGGTCTCTTGTATTACACCTCCAATGCAGAGCTTTGTACACTGAGAAGAGACCAGAGAAGTTCTCTGCTCATCCACAGATGAATTAAGCCCCTGGTAAGTCAAGTTCATCCTTAGAAGTCCATTTCTGGATTGCATTATAATTTATTTTTCTCTCTGACTGCTGGTGTAAGACTTGCAGGTTTATTCACTGGAGATTGCCACCATAAATTTTAGGAGTCTGGCTTACAAAGCCTGTAACAACCTTGTTTAGCAAAGGTGTGCCTTGCAGCATTCCTTCAGTAATGCCACTTTGGCTGCCCCTTACCTCTGGGGTGAGGTATTTCATCATGATTTCCTTTCCTTTCTCTCCCAGCTTTTCATCTGGAGCAATTTCATATTCTGCCTGGAACAGACATAGAAAAAAATAAAAGTCAATATTTGCACTCATATTTCACCATTATAACTTCATTTTGGATGTGGCCTTAACAGAACACTCTGTGTGAAAAATCTGAAGGACAAATATCATTTTCTGGTGGAAGTAAAACCTGTACACACAATCTTATTGAAAACCTTCCACTAGATTTTGACCAGAACCTAGCAGCGCTTCTTCTGGGGCTTTGTATCTTAATTAACACAAATACAATTGAATTAATTTATATTTTATAACCTTGCAAAGCCAGCTTTCAGAAAGCATTCAGTTACAAGAGGCATCAGCTTCATTTGGTTTTGCTCAAAAGGAAGTTGGACACAGGAGGTAAAATTATTTCTCTGAGTAGTAGAGAAAGTGAATGTTTGTTAACCCTTGACACAGTGCTGTTTCAAGTGCTAGATGTGTGTATATTATGTATTCTTTTTTGTTTAATGTGTATTTTCTATGTATTTATGCCTTGACCTTGGTCTGACAATACCTGTGCAAAGCAGAGAGACCTGCCCATCACTGTTAGTGACCCTTGGCTCAATCCCTCCTGATTTCTTAGGGCCAAGAGGAAACAAGAGAGAGCACTTAGAGGAATAGACACCATAAGCAAAATTCTCTTTGGCTTCCCTAGTGCATTAAAAAAGGGAGCATCCCATCCTCATGCACAAAGTCTACCTACACTTTAAAATTCTGACTGCTCTAGGTATTGAAGCATTACTGATTTTTTATGAGCTTTGTTTACATTAGAAACAAAAAAAGCACAATATGTGTATACCATGAAGATATTAATCACTTCAGCTAAAGTTTTGGATCCATGGCAGGCATTCAAAGGAAACATGTGCTTCAGTGGCTAAATGACAACAAGTTTTCTTAGGGACCTTCCTGATTGGCCCTGCTTGGGATATGAAGCTTTAGCCTTCAGGTAAATTTTTTTTTTTTTCCAGAATTAAATTAAGGGAAAAAAAAAAAAAAAAGAAGACGACAGCCTAAAAGCTTTCATGACTGTATTAAAAAAAGGATCCCAGCAAATCCTGCCAAACCAATTAAATAACCTGGTCCAATACAAGCTGTCTGTGATGATAAATGAGGAGGAAGCTTAAAAAAAAAAAAAAAAAAAAAGGTAAATCAGACTGAACTGGCAAACACTTGGAAGAACAAATTTCAGAACTATTGCCCACTGGAAGATGTATGTACTGCTCCAGGCTGGATGCAATAAATCTGCAGGCTGGCTGTAATGGATACCCCAGCTAAGCAAACCTAGGAATGACATGGAAACCACAATGTAGTAATAATGCTATTCCCCTTCTATCTGGCCAGTGCTCATTGAGCTATTGCAGCTCAAGTCTGGAGCTGCATATTTACACACAGGCATAGCAGGTTGCTTGAACAATCTGGAATTATGATTTGGTTTGGGGAATGATAGTGGCCGCAAATAAAAATGATGAAAAGACAACCAAAAACTGAAATCCACGAGTACAGAACTTCTTTTTAAGTGACAGTTTTGGGGATGAAACTGATTAGGTTCTCATAAAACTTAATACAAGGGTTTAAAAAATATTTTATCTAATCTCCTGTCCTTTTAGATGGTATCTGAGTATGGGTCATTTCAGTTCTTGAAGTACAGAAACTCTGAAATACTTAGAGTATCTTAGCAGCATTTTTCTCCATGATTTCTCTCTCCTTCATTTGCTTTCAAACGCTGATAATATATTGTCTCCCTAGTAAATAAAACCTGATTATAAGTCATCATCTCCTATTTGAAGTGCACCAGGAGAGCTGTTGAAAAATTTTTTTGTCCTTTTTGCCACACATAACCTATACCAATTTCATCCCATCTGAACTGTACAACAGGAAACAAATCAGGACAAACAAGACAGAAACTCAGCAAGAACTCGATGTCTTGAAATGAAATTCCTGATGGGATCCAACATATGCAGAGCTAAATGCACACCTATACATATACAGAGTATCTCGTTCTGCCTCAAGAGAGATAACAAGAATAAAAGGAAAGTTTAATTAAACTTGCATTTGACATTCCCAGGAAATGTGACATGGTGGTGGTGATGGTGGGAAGTGACAGACAAGTGAGAATGTGAGAAGGAACCATAAGCTCCAACTGTGCACAGTGTTGATTTCACTGTAGGTCTGCACTAGAAGCCTGTTCCATTTTGTTCCTCAGCTCATCATTATTTCTCCCTTCAGTGCCATTTTTGAGCTATTCAGCAACAGACCCTGGTACATTCCCAGCTACGACCTGTTATTACAGGACACAGACAGGGATGTCCCCATGCTCTCTCTGCCACCTGCCTGGGAAGCCACCAAGGTCCTCAACTCCTGGTCTTGTGCTTAGATCACAAGATACTTCCCTTTCTTTCCCAATACTCAAAAGCTACAGTTTGCAAATCCCTAATTGCTAGAAATAACATCATTTCTTACAATCCGCGTGGAACAAAATATTTTCCATTATTCCTTTGATGAATCCAGGCATGTGTTTCAAGGCTCCTGCTCTGAAGTCTAATAGCTTCTCCATGCCCTAGTTAGGTCAGACAGGGCCCTATTCATAGCCCATAAATGAGGGGAGGATTTACGATCACCCTGACTCCGTGGGACAAGCTGCAGGGAAGGCTCTGTCTGTGGGCAGGCACGGATCATTCAGCCCAAATGGCGAGAGGATGTGGGCTGGCCACTGTCTGCTGCTAACTTTTCTTCTGGCTGCTCTTTTGGAGGTAGTAGTTATGTTGGTGGCTCCTTCTTCCATAGAAACAGCCCTGGCTGGATGGAGGAACGGGAGTGCAAAGTGTCCTTCCCTTTGGAGCAGCTACCCACAGGATGGGCTGAGAGAGATCAGATGGAAAAATGCTCTTCAGCTGGGAAAAGGAATAATATCTAGCCCATGGCTGGCTGTGGGATGGGGCCATGGGCTCAGGGACAGCTCAGCTTGTGATTGATGGAGAGCCACCAGGGCAATGACACAGGGACCCCACAGGGGCTCACATTGATTCTGACACATCAATTTATGTAGTATCTGATTCTCACCTTAATATTATTTGAGCTCCTGAAACTGCATGGCTAAAAATGTGTGAAAATGGAAAATCATATCCCAAGAGATCTCTCTGCAGATCTGGGAGGATGCTCTCCCACAGCAGGTAGCTGATGGTTGCCTGTGGCAGCATGGCATGGCCAAGGGAATCATCACCCCTTGTAGCACCCACCAGGAGATGGAGATGGGAACAGACACTCCCACCAGATTTTGGCTTATTGGTAAATGTCAGGAACAGTGGAATCATCTTTTGAGCATCTGCAGGTGGTTACTGGTATTTCAGTCCTAATTTTTCACCTCCACTTTCTTAGCTCCCTCCTCTGTTATCTGAGAATATCTCTCTGCTCAGTCCTTTCTCAGACTCCAGGCTCTGCCCTGTTATTGCTCTGTCCTCTGTGCCTGTCCTTACACTTGCCTCTGCTGGAGATTTAAAATCTGTGACTGAAAATTGGAAGGCAAACCCCAAACAGCTGGGATTCATAATAACTCACATTTCTAAACGAAAAGTGAACTTGAAACCATATTTTTCATATTTAAAGGCAGGGCAAAAAGAGCCCTTTCAGCTGTTTGAAAACACACTTTGAGTTAATGAGTTTGTTGATACCAACAAACTGGCATTTCTGATGGGAGAAGCCTTGAACAGCTTTAAGACACACATACACAGATGGTTTATATACCACAAAAGGGACTTAACCAAATGAAATCTCCCTAACAGCAAGACTGGGTTTTTACAAATGGCACTAAATGGATGCTCACTCATCCTTTCACCCCAAGTAAGTGCCATGTCTAGTGAAGCATTCAGCTGAAAAGTCCACCCGAGGAGATTGTGCCTCTCACCCTGGCCCCTGAGCCCAGATATCACAAGCAGAAACAACCTGGAGAGGCAGCAGGGCTATTTTCCTCCAGAGGATGAATTTTTGTGTGACTTCAGTGAAAAAAAAAAGTAACCTTGTTCACATTAGAGAGAAAATAATGACCAAAATTGTCCACGTTCTCCTCCTGTCAACCTAAATCTCGTCCACATTAAATTGTTAAAAGCCCTCCCTTGGAAATAAAGCATTATGAATGTGAGTAGATGAAGCAGGAAAGGGAGTCCAGAATCTAAAGCCTTCATTTTAATGACACATAAGAATCACAGGAGAGGAGAAAGAAATGTCAGGTGCTGCAACCTGTGTTGTGAATAATGTGTTGATGAGAAGGGGACAGGAGCAAGAGGTCCCTGCTGAGCTGAACTGACCTGCCACCTTCTTGTGCTGGAGGCACTGGCTGTGGAGAAGCAAACACAACTTGCTAGCCCCTTTCCTGCTCACTGATCAGCCTTTAGCACAGGAAACATTTCCCCTCACACTTTATTTTAATGGCAGTCTTTCAACAGCTCCAAAGTTGAACGAAGTTGCTAAAATATTTGTAAGCAGAGCAAAGTGTGCTTCAGGGCTGTGTGTGATTCCTTGGGTAAGGGCTTCTAGAGGAGCCCATTTAATCACAAACCATCTCCATCTAATGATAACAGTTTATGTTCCCATAGTTCCACCATCTGAATGGCTCCATCAGGGTTTCCTGAGCCCTTCAAAGGACATCTCTGTGGTTCCAAGCACCCAGATAAGCACATGAAGCTTCCAGAGCCTCAAGAGCTCAGTGAATATTTTATCTCAGCATTCAGGACCTCTGTCATGGGTTTGTTTGCACAATAACCACAGCAAGAGATGGCTGGCTGTCCTTACAGCCCTTGTGCCAGCTGGGAGAAGGGGTGGCTGTTCCCCCATTTCCCAGACAGACAGACAGACAGACACACTGGCAGGCACTCACTGCTCCCACAGCAGCAGTGGGAACCAAACACCCACAGCTGCACCAGTGCTGGGCTGCAGAGCTCTGCATCTCTTTGTTCTTATCACTGTTATCATCTAATCTTGGGGCCTGCTGCTTACAAACCACATGTCGTGTTAGTCTGGGCTACAATCGATTGTGACTAATTGCCCAAACACTGCTCTCAGAAAACATGGAGAGGCTTTATGCCTCTGAGCACTTTTGTCTCAATTCCTGGTTGAAATTGGCCAAGGTATTCACAGGTCTCAGAGGGAGCTGACAGCTACACACCTACATGCATGCAGAATTTAGTGATACAAATCCTTTTTCTTCAGAAGGCAGCTTAACAACTGTTCAACAGGCAAAAATCCCCAAATGCTGCCATAATTACATTTGCAGGAGATTACATCAGACCAGGTTGGTTATTTCACACAGCAGCTGACAAAAATGTCCAGTCAATAGAGGATTTTTTTTTCTCTTCTTACATATTCTGGTCTGCAAGGTCTGGATGATTCTACCAGCCTTTGGAAGCAAAGATGTGAGAGAGCTTAGTCTCTCACAAGGATAGGTTGTTAAATGTCTGACTCAGCTTCTGGTTTTCTCCCAGAAGCCTCAGTCACTTCTTTCCTTGCAGACAGTTGAGTGCATGAGTTGAAAAACTGTATAAAATATTGGGAGGCATCAAGTACAGGCTTCTGCCAGTGACTTACTGTGTCACCTGGTAAAGTCACTTGGATGGGCACTGAAAAAGAAAGGTGGTCCTCCTTTTCAATGTGCAAAAAGCTCAGTGAGTCCCTCATGAACAGCTAAATATTATCCCCTTTTATCTTTTCCCTTTATTTGACATTACACAAAAGGTAATTTTTTCATCTCATGTTAGAAAAATAACCAGAACAAAAGAAAATGAAGGCTCTTGGCTTTTCCTGCTTGTTACATCAGATGGTCTAGAAAGATTTCCCATTCCTGGTGGTCTCAGATTAGGGCTGTAAAGTCAGACTCCTGGTCTCATTATAGAGCTTATTTTGCTACCATAGGGCTTGGCTTGAATCCTACTACTCACTAAACACAGTGTGACCTCGCTGTGCAAATTTCAGTAGCAATCATCCAATTTAATGGCAAATGGCTGTGTTGCTTGACCTTAATATTGCCTAATGCAGGAATTTTCATGGGCTGGGAGCAAGCTTACACAGAATTTGGAATCAATAAACAAAGAAGACTGCTGTTAATTAGTGTTAAAAAGACGAGAGAAAGATAAGGATTCAGACCTCCACCCAGACTGGCATTTTGCTTATCAAATCCTCATGGTGCCAGTCTGAGCCTAACTGGGAACAGACCCCTGATCCAGTAAAGGTACACAGGGCACCTCCAGCCTGCAAGAGCAACTTGGGCTGGGTGCAAAGCACACCTTTGCAGAAGGATTTGGGAATATGGCTTGGGATTGCTCGGAGATAGACCTTTCAAACAAAGGCAGTGCCAGCAGGAGCTTTTGCAGGAGCAGCGAGTGCCACAGTGCCCTCAGTGCCCAGAGCCGTGCAGTGCTGTGGCCGCAGCTGGCACATCTGCCCTGGGGACAGATGTTTCCCTGTGTCCAGATGTTGTTCCCGCTGTCAGTGGCGTGCCCTGAGTGCATGCAGGGCTGGCACAACGGGGGATTCTCCCCTGCAGCCCCTGGAACCAAAATGTGCTGTCTGCAGCTGCGGGGAGGCAAGAGAAGTGAGCAGAGTGCCCGAACCGAGCATGGCTCCACCGCTTCTGCCTGAGATTAAACCACTTACAGCCCATTTTCTTCCCAGGGATTTCTGCAGAAGTTGCCATCTCCTCGGGGCTGCAGGTGGCACAGCTGGTGTGGCATTTCTGCAGGCATGCCATCCCCCCCAGAGGGGTGTGTGGTGTTTCATCAGTGGCAGACACCTCACTGGACAATGCTGGCCCAGCGCAGGGCAAACACATTCAGGGTACCCAAAGTGTCCTGCTGCCTGCTGGCCTTGAGCACAGCTGCAGTGTTTGTCAGATGTCCCATGTACCTTGATGGCTACACCTTTCACCAGAGAAAATTGCAAGCAGTGCTAGGAATAACAGGTGGAGGTCATGACCAGCTAAAACTGATTCAGATATGACTTTATCCAACAGTTTTTGTGATGCTGTAGATTTGCTGTTGTTACTGCAGGAGTAACATGAACCCTAAGTCCTCTCCAGGCTGTTACTTCTACAGCTTCAGTGCAATCCTCACATTTCCCTGTACTTCAGAGTAGCTTCACCATGGCGCAAACAAAACAATTTTATTCCTCTTGATATGCATTGTTTTGCTTCTGTCAGCGTTAGCCAGGGAGTGAGACCCTGCGGGCACTCACAAGTGACAAGTTCATCTTGCTCTTTGGTACCATTTCACCTTTTGGCTGATCAACAACCCTCCCCTTCCACAGGTTCCCAGCAAAAGAAGTCACTGAGAGACTTTTCCACTGTGAGCAGCTGGCAGGACACATGGCCAAGTGCTGCCAGACTGGGAAAGAGCGTCAGGTCCCCCAGGGCTTGGGGGTGATGCTCAGTGGCTGGGTTAACTGATGGCTCACTGGGGTGGAAAATGGAGCAGATTTGTTTCTCAGTGACCTCAATCAAGTTATTTCTGTACCTTGTGCCTCTCGTTCTCCTATTTGAAAAAACAGGGTGATTACCAGGATGCCCTTTGTAAAGCACCCTGAACTCTATGTATGAAAAGGCTTGGTAAGGGATATTAGGACTATTATATTTCCCATCCTTTATTGTCAGTCCATTCTACTTCCCTTTCTTCCCTGTGCCTCCCAGCACGGCAGGCTTCACCCCCATCAGCAGACATTGCTCACAGCAGCTCAGCTGCTCGGGTCTTGACATGAAGGGAGGCCAGAGCTGGGGATGACTGTCCTTGCCCCTCTCTGCTGGCACCAGCACTTCAGACACAAAATCCCACAAAACAGTGATTTATTGGCATCAGAGGAGTCCCCTCTGCCAGGGGAACATTGCAAAGCATCCCAAGGTACCACAAGAATTGACTTACCACCGAGTCAAGGAACCGAATGCAGCACTCGAGCTCGGGCCGAGTTTCACAGAACTGCCGAAAGAGAAGCCTCCCGATGGGCTGCTTTTCACATATGCTGCAGTAATCCCTCTCTAGAGGAAATAAAGAGAAGAACAGAAGCATGAAAATGAGAATAGCTCGGCCTCTTTTGGTTGCTCATGAGTTTAAAGCACAGTGCAGAACTACAACCTCAAATCACAACCGCCTTCTCCCTGCCACCATGTTTCTGGTATCCAAATATAAATATAACTAATGGCTTTAAGACTCAGTTAAGAGAGGCTGAATTTTGTAGGGCTGATGTTGGTAAAGGTCAAGCAAAAGCCATTCAGCTATTACGAAAAAATAATTTCATATTTTTCTGTGGTGGAAATGTATGCAAAGGTACAGCTCAGACTGGTGGTATTGGTGGGAATGTGGGCAGCAAATTACAAGTACTTGAAATATAAGACATACATTAAAGGGCAGAAAAAGCTGGAATTTGTGGAGTCCTTCCTGGATGCTTCCTAGATATACACTAAAGTGCCCCGTATCTCTGGAAATGCTTAGCCTACTTTCTATTAAACAATTATAGGAAACTACGCATTTTCAAAGGTTTCAAAATTTCTGCTATTTAATTGCTGAGCATTAAGGAATGGATAGAGCATATGGCATCTGGCTCATTTCAGTTTAACACAGCACTCCTTACAGAACTGTATTTCCCCTTAAAAGCCACGTTTAAATGCCATTCCCCTGTGCTGGTGCATCCACAATCATCACTCACAGTAAAGCAAAAGGTCCTTTGCTCATCACAAGGACTATCAGCAGCAGAATATGGATGAAAGGCTGGCATCATTAACTGGCACCAGCACAAATGCCAAGGGCTTTGGATATTTTTCTGGTGAAATCAGAAAATCCCACAGCCTGCTTGGAGAAGCAATACTTGCTTGAGACACGTTATTCCTCTACAAGAACACACATGTCAAACAACATACTGTGTTTCCTTAGGCATTCTTCTCACCACCCTCCTCGCTGCCATATGGCACTTGCTGTTATTATGGAAACAACCAGCTTCTAAACACATAACACAGCACTGCAAACAGACATAGCAAACCCACACACATTGTCAGTGCCTCGGTTACTTCCCTCTTGGGCCTGCAAAGTCTTTGATTCCCCCTCTGCTTTGGCTCCCCACATCCTTCAGCTCCTCCCTCTCCGTGGATGCAGGCACATGTCTGTGATGGAGCTTGAGGCAGCTGAAGGACCTGCTCATCTCAGCTTGTGCCCTGGGCACCATGTTCTGCAAAACCAGGACTACACAGAATCGTTATAGAATCATGGGATGGCTTGGGTTGGAAGGGATCTTAAAGATCACCTAATTACATATCCCCCGTCATGGGCAGAGACACCTTCCACTATCCCAGGTTGCTCCAAGCCTCATCCAACCTGGCCTTGAACACTTCCAGGGATGAGGCATCCACAGCTCCTCTGGGCAGCCCATGCCAGGGCCTCCCCACCCTCTGGATACATTTGTCCTGAGCATGAAATGCTGTATGAGGTGTTGGACTTCTGCCCTGTAGCTGGGTGACAGTGGGCAGGAGCAGCCAAGGCTGCCTCTCCTCTCGTGAGAGGAAGGAGGGAACCTGCCCAGTGCTGCACCTGGCTGTACTTCAGGAACTGATTCCTGAAGCACTTCCCAGGTGGTCACTGGAGACATGGGTTGGGGATAGCTGAAATCTACTTTTAATTCAGTGTGGTCCTGCTCTAGTCTGGTTTTCTAAAGCAGTTTGGAACAACATACCAGCAGCATTTCTTCACTGGCACTGCCATTCCATTTTCGATCAGGATATCACTCAATCTATTGAGAAAACTCCAGTGTTTTGATGCTTTCTTGCAAGCAAAACTGGATCAAAATCATCATGCAAATCCTAACCTGACCCCCAGTCAATCTAATTATCAGCTGGTTTTTTTGCCTGAGCTGGAGCCTTAAGCATGGAACATCATGGCACTGATAGGTGTGGTGGGAAAACCAGCGGGATCACTGGGACACGGAGCAGCCTTGGGGTGTCCTTGTGGGTGCTACCAGCTTGTGCTGCTTGACCAAGTGGCATTTTTATGAGTAACTGCTGAAGGGATGTGCAGACACGTACAGCACAAGAGAGAGCGGATCAGAACAGCCCTCACAACATCCCAGAGGCTGGCACGAAGCCAGAGGCTCAGCAGCCCAGGTGAGCTCTCCTGGGAGGTGAGAAGGTTTAACTACATCTGCCTGGTGCTGGTTTCTGCTACCTTGACTAACTAACTCTTGGGAGGGTATGAATAAAACATACACCCCAAAAAACAGTAGCACACGGCCTGCCTGGTGGAGGGACTCCATCCCTCCAGAAGCCCAGACCCACAGCAAGCTTCCCTATGCAAAAAGAAAACCAATGAGACTGTCTGGATTCATAACAAAGTAAACCAGAAGGGGACAAACACAACAACCAGCCGGTTTGCCCCATAGTTTTTATTGTATAATGTCATTTGATGGACAGTGATTACTGTTGTACAAAATGTGGTTAGTTTATCAAAGTTGTTATGACATGGTGACACCCAATGCAGCAGAGGATGATCTTCTACCAAAAGGGCCAGTGAGACCAGGTAAATTAATGTGCAAATTGCACATCCGTAACGTCCATAACTGTATTCTTCCTAGCACAGCAGGGAAAGAAAACAAGCAGCTAAACACTATGACATATGTGGATAAACACAAGATAAATAAGACATGAGCACGGAGGACTTCCTCCTGCTCTACAGAACTTGGCCAACATGTGAGAAGGGTGGCCCATTTGAAACAAGGAAAAAGGAAATACCAGAAATAATCTCTGAAAATGCAACAGCCAGAGCAGATCCCCGGAGCCATCCACGCCTTCGTCATGTGCATTTAACTGCTGGATATACCAACACAGACAATAAATACATGACAAAAATGCTTTCATTCCTTGTAGGTGACACAAACTATTTTCTTAGGCCCTGATCTTGCCATTGGCCTCACTAAGTCAGCTAAAGGAATCTGCACTCAACTAATTCTTGGGATGCATGGGCCCGGCGCGGACTAAGAAAGAAAAACACATCTCTCAGCTAAAGCTGAAAAAGGAGTGGATGGTTTTATTATAGCAAGAAGTGTTTTAGCAGCGTGCTGCATCCCAGAGATGGGGCTGGAGCACCCTGAGCCGTGCTCAGGAGCTGCTGCAGGATGGGGAGGGATGGGGAGGCAGGCGAGCACCGCAGCCAGGGGCTCTCCTGGGCAGGGGCTGAGCCTTGTGTCGCTCTTGTTCCTCCTGCCAGTAAAAACATCCATGGAGTTTCAAAGTTTAAAAAATAGAAGGAATGATTTCCTGAGGAAATGGAAATGTTAAACACTTGGAAGTGAAACCATATGCTTATGATGATGAAGTGTAACTAAAACAGCTCTGAGAGTGATATCTTTGGTAGTCAGACCCTCCTGCCTCAGCGCCATCCTGTTTAACACCTGCAAAGTCACCCAAAACGCGGGTGAAAAGCTGGGTGGGTCAAAGTCTTGGGAAAGCAGACACTTCTCACTGACGCCAAACTCTTTATTTAGAAAATATCACTGGCAAACAACGCACACATGCAAGTGAATTCTCCATCTTCCTAACAGAGCAGCAACACAGATTAATATAGAAAAGGTATTATATAAAATGCCATAATTAACATTCATAAGATAAATAAAGATAAATAATGTTTATTCAGAATTCTACTGACTCATTTTTCCCTTTACTTCATAGCTTATGTATTGAAATACTAATTTCAGGAGCACCCAGCACAAAGAACACACTGAAATAGTTGCACCTGCACACGTCATGCTGTCACCATTCAAAGCCTATGGCCAAATTTGTTCCCAAACAGATATTCTGGCAAGGTTCTGAAAAATATCTGAGCCCATGCCTAAGAAAAATAGTCCTATTAACAAAATTTCATACCAGTCAAAACATACCATTGATGAAGTGGAAAGCTAAACAAAAGGTAACAGAGCTGCTGATGTCAAAAATCCCCAATTTTCAATTAAAAGGGGGGGGAAATCTAATATTTTAACTAGATAAAAAACCTTCCTGTGCATTGTGAAGATTTTTTGTCCTAATTTCTCATTTGAATACCTTTCATTTTTTTGGCTGACTCAAAATATTACCTTTTGGAGAGAAACAGTGGTCTGCAGAGAGACCAGGTTCTCCCTTCTCTTTCACATTTGCAATATACCTGTGGGTTTTAATGGGTTAGTGATGAACTAAAAAACTGTGTGATAACTCTTGGCTGAAAATCAGTCTTTTATGATATTCAGTGTAAACTGCAGGTGTCTAAGTAAGACTGCTGTAAAAGCTGCACTTCTGCAACTCGTTCTGAAGAGCTGCAAATCCAAGCCCTGCAATCAGCTGGTGAGGCTTCCTCCTGGAGATGTCTGTGCGGAGGGATGAGCTCAGTTTAAACCTCACTTTTAAAGTCTGCAAAAGCCAGGAACATATTTTCAGCTTTTTGGTCATTTATTGGTGTGGCTAAGGATTGTATCTATGTACTATCTGTTAAGTAACATTTTATTTTCCAGCATACTGGAATCCCAAGAGCAGATTTTCCGAAGGAATGCATGGAGAATTGCCAAGAAGACATGCGCCATGCTGCTGCATGGGAACATTTGGACTTGACCTCTGGATCCCTGCTATCCTTGGCATTAAATCAGATGAAAAATCAGTAAGATCCAAATGCAAAGTAATTATGCTGCCTAAAAAAGCCCCCACAAAACAGCAATAACAACAGAACCCTGCAAACAAACAAACCAACCTACAAACAAACATCTGGAACCCCCAAGGAGGGTGTAGGAAGACTTAATTGTTCATTTCCTGCTCATGCTCAATGATCCGAGATCAGAATTCATCCTCCCTTCCTGATTTTTCTTCTTTAAGGTAAACCCAAACCATTCAGATACTGTTCCAAGTCTATTATTTGTCTGCTGCTCTCTTCCTCTCACCTGCTTTGTCCCAGAATAACAAAAAGCACCCCAAATTAATGGAAGAAAGCACTTGAATGTCTCAGTCCCTACACTCAAGCTGGGCAATAGGAGCAG